TTCCACAATTTTAATAAGGTAATTTTAATGTGAGTCCTTTTGTTATATAAAGCACATATAACTGCATATACACCAATTTGGATTTTGGGTTTTAGTTTAAGAATTGGACTTAATGTTTCTGAAAAAATGTAAATGTAGTACTTTTGAAAAGTGCTACAAAGCTGGATGGCAACTCACCAAATCCTGTGTTGTGGTTTTTCTCTAGAAAAACTGCACTTTCAAATCCTAACCAATTTAAGCATATACTAGGCAAATTCCTGTTATGAATAAGTATTTTTAGTAACATTTGCAGTTATTGTGAGTTATTCTCAAAGCTAGATGACATAGAATTGTGATGTATTTGTTACATTCTTATAATCTTTATAGTGAATTCATGTTACTGTTATATTGTGTTTAAAAAGTATATATCAAACTTTTAGTTGCTTTTTTGTACTAACAGAATAATATTAAGTTATGATTTTATTTAATATAGATTAAGTGTTAATAGAATTAAGGATAGTTAAGTTTTATAATGTTTAGGCTTGAATGTTTTTAAGTTAAGTTTTCTAACTTAGATATTCTTTTAAGGTTAAGTTTGTTATTTCCTTTTATCATATATAATTATTGTTAGGTTTAAATATTGTTTAATTTAAATTGTTTTGTGTTTTATTGGAGACACTTGTTTAAACTGAAAAGTATAGTTATTTTCCTAGAGATATGAAGACAGTGACAACTGAAACAGCAGTGATGGAACACTGGTGAACACCTGCTTGTGGATAGAAGGGAATGCAGTCTGTGACACCCTTGACTTCATCGGGAGTTCTATTGGTTGTTGCAATCTCTGCAGTTTTGTTTGTTATAGCTTTCTTATTTTTCAGTGTTTCCAGAATTTTAAGAAGATGTATCATTGCTGAGGATCAGCTGCCATAGGAGAGGCTTCAGGTTAAACCAACTGCTGCATGGTTTAATTGGTCTGGTACCTAAGGCTTCTGATCATTTGATTTGTACAAATGTATTTTAACAGTTTGCTGTGCTGTAAGCATCTCATAGCTGCTACTATTGAGAACCTTGTTCTAGAAATATGTTAAGAGGCATCTTTCCAGTTTAAAGCCAGGCCCTGGCCAAGCCTTGACTTTACCTGGAGGGAACGTTTGCCATCAGATCCAGATGTTTTCTGTCCCAAATCAGTATTTGAGTCACTTTTTGACTCAGCAATTTGACCCTGTTGATATGACAGCTGGATCAGTTTTGAAGTGGGCTTGGAGAATCATTTCCGGAGGTGATTACCCAATCCTTCACTGATTGTTTTGTTTCTGTTTGCTTGCTAACTATGGGATGCTGGTGCAGTGTTTTAGTAATTAATAGTAGTTTTATATTACATATGTTATTAATAATGTTTATGATTTAATTGATTTTTAACCGGTATAAGTTCTTATTAATTGTGTATATGGTTTTGTGTTGCTGTTGATGTTTATAACAGAAGTACATCTCATTTTATTTTTTTTTTTAAGAAAACGGGGGAAATGGATGCCCTAAAAACATTTGATTAGTGTAATTCATTAACTTCAAGAAGAGAAGTGCCTGTGTTTTGTTGGCAGGTTCAAAAAGGTCACCTGTCCATCTGACCAGACTGTCTGCCTCTGAACACATGAGATCCAGTGAACAGAGATGTCACCACACAGCCTTGGTACTCCAGACATGGATCAGAAATGGACCTGTCAGGACACAGTTGTGTCTGAACACTACACAGACAGTTGCCAACAGAACTTTTATGTCGTTACTATGATGTTATGTCTCTACCAATTTTTCAGGTATCCTTTGTTTTAAGATTTAGAAGGATCTGAAGAACAACTTGAACATCAAGGCCCTCAGTCACCCATCAGCTGCCAGCTGACATCACGGGAGCAGTGAACGTTCCAGGACTGAATCGTGTTAGAGAAATTCTGTAGAAGATCTAAGAAGTGTAGAGACTCCATTTAACTGTATATAAAGCAAATTGTAGTTGTGTGTTTACCCTTTCAGCAAATTGCTTTCACGCTTAGACTACATATATACCAAAGCACGTGTGTTAAAAGTAGTTATATAATAGGTTAAGATAGTTTAGCCTGTGTAGTAATTGTTATGTTAGTATAAAGTATAAGTATTCCCCCTTCAAGAGCTAGTGTAAGCATCTTTGAAAGTTCATTTAACGATTGGAGTTTTAGCTGTGAGTTTGCAAATATGGTGTCATTTGCATGGAACAAACTGCTTATGGTAATTGTGTTGTGTATAGTCCCAACCAACTGTCTGCTAACTAACATCCAAAAGAGGCAGAACATGTGGGTCACTCTGGCACATTGAACTGGCCAAAGGTCAATGTGTCTAAGCCTAGCCACACCTAGAGATCCTTTCGCACCTGTCTCGTAGGAGTCCCTGAATGGGATCCTCCAGCATTTAAAGATTTAATTAGTAATGAGACTCGACTGAATTGATTGGCAATGTTGCAAGAGTGCAATTGCACTGTTGGCTTCACATTAAGACAACCTGAAGCCTGTTGGCAAGCAAAAAATTACCAAAGTTCTCAACGTTACAACCCTCAGAAGAATTAGATTTGTTAAGTTCCACCAATACCTCAGGTGGATGGATAATGTTTGAACCCCCGACAAAAAGTCATTCTAACAAAGTAACGTAGCCCTGAGCTGCAGTCAACCCTATAGCTGATCTCGTTACTACCACTGAAAGTAAAGCCTTTGTTTGTGGTGCAATCTCACAGGGCAATTACCAAAGCGATTACCTAGTTCCATCTTCCTAATCTGTGGGGATAGGGCATGGAATAGGATTCCTGCTAGTCCACATAGAGGACCCTGTTATCTTGGGAAACTTAACTTTGTTCCACCCAAGCTAACACCAATTGTTGAATATAGCTAGCAAAATGAAGAACATCAAACAGTCAAAGCGAAGCCTGAATGAATTAAAGTTTAGCCACCCTAAAAAGGCTCGCTTGTTGGACTAAGGAAGGATTGAACTTAACATCCACAATGTTAAGTGAGCTTTCAGCCGATGTGAGTAGTGTATGTCATGCAGTATTATGAAATCGAGCTGCAATGGACCTTTTGCTCTTGGCACAGGGACGTAGTTGTGGGGAGTTTGAAGGCATGTGCTGCTTGAATCTTACTGATCATTCAGCTTCCATCCATGGGCAACTGCAACAGCTACAGGATGGGTTACATGCCCTAAAAGAAGATAGTGACCCCACTGGAAGCTGGTTCGCCAGCTGGGGCATCACCGGATGGTTGACGTCTCTTGTGCTAGAAGGGGGACGGACTTTACTTATAATGTTAATTTGGGTGACAGTCTAAGTGGTATGATATCTTATCCAAAGCCTGGTTTGTGCAAAAAGAGAAAGGGGGAATTGTTGCTATATTTTATATATTAGTAAAGGCCTGTATGCACAAACCAGCCTTTGAAATAAGTCGTGATATTAAGGGCTAAAATCCTTGAAACTTGCCTGCAGAAGAGAGAGTAAAGCAAAACAATATCCTTGTGTACAAGGATAAGAATGTAAACCTGTGTGTGTTAGCCAATAGTAGCTTGCTCTGCCCGCAAACCCTGTAGACCCTATAAAAGGTGTGTTAATAATAGAAATAAACGGCATTCACAATTACTTCTGTGAAGACTGGTGAACAGCTCGGGGGTCTTTCAACAATTCCCCTGGGGATGCATAGCTTCAAGATCCATCTCCTAAAGTACTTTTTTCCTCCATGTTTTTAAATATGGCTTTTGTAAAAAGATTTCTCTAAACTCTTAAACACTTCTCAAAACCTCTTCAGGAAATATATATATATATATAAATAGTGAGCTTTGGAAAGTGTTTTTTCATCCCCAATACAGTTAGCATTTTAGCCCACTTTAATCTTCCCAGCAGTTTACTGAGTTTTAGGAAATATCAAACTCCTTTTAGAAGACAGAACAACAGATTTTATTTCACTTAAATGAGAAAATGCAGAACAGCTCAGGAAGCTTCCCTGAGTACTTATTAAACTTTCTAATTACTGTTTAGCCCATATAAACCTCACAGCTACAGTTCAAATATTTTGAGGGCTGAGATGATGGTGGGAGATTAACTGGAACAAGTGTGTTATTAAACGCAGTTTAGACCTTGCATACTTAATAATACAATTAATGTCATAGAAATGATTCCCCACTCAGTTCTACAAGAAAAACTCTCTAGGAGCTCTCTCACTTCACTGTTGAAAGCTGGGGGTGGAGGTTGGACATTGATGGAGAGGAGGAAGAGGAGGGGTGAAAGTTTGCAGGGTCCAGCTGGCAGGTGGGGCTCTACCAGCTGTCACTGCACGATGCTGATCCTAAGGAAAAGCCCAGAGGGAAGCTCTTGATAGCCCAGAATGAAGTGGGCATGAAACCAGGGAGAAGAAGGATAGGAAAACAGTGACTTCAGCCAGAGTATGACCCTGACCTTCCAAGGCACTGGCTGTGTCTCTGTGTGGAGGAGCCAGTGGTGTCTCTGCCAAGGGCAAGGGCTGCACCTGCACCAATGTGGCTGGGGGTGCTCAGGGGGACACTGCAGGGAGAGACAGCAGATGCTGAGGATCTGAGCATTGGCTGTGCCTGTTCTCCAGGCTTTACTCTGCTCTGTGCCTGCAGCCTGAGTTCCCCTGGATGATAGGAACAGACCACCAGTTTAGTATGGTCCCAGAGCAGTCCAGCTTTTGTGCTTTGAGGATACTCTGCCATGTGAATCGAAGTGCAGGAGTTGAGAATGATTGGAAGGTTTTCTTCAAAACTGGAAGCAAGAGAGGTGGCTGCTCCATGAACACCTGGCATTGCTGCCCTGACTCCTCTGGGGCATTTTAGTCTGATAGACTGAGCTTCCTGCTCTTCAAGCTGTCTCTGTGTGCTACACTTTCCCTAAATAACCAGTGGAGAGAAGTTTGTATCTGTTTAGTCCACACATGCAGAGAATGAAGAAAATCTCTCCTGGTCACAGCTTACATCATACAAAATCTTGTGACTTACATTTTAGTGTTCTTCTCTCGGCTCTGGTTGTCCCTTTCTCCTGAGCAGGCATTCTCACCAGACATTACTGCAATGCACTTTCTAGAGGAGTCCCAAATGTGAGGCTAATCCAGCAGGTCAGAGGCTGGTTTCAGGCAACCACTGATGTTACTAGCCCTACCAGGAAAAAAATCAAGGTAAATTCATGTGATCACATTTTCTCTTTATAGTATCTGGTTATGAGTAGGAGTGAGAGATGCAGAGAACATTACAGTGAGTCAGTAGGAACTTTCTCTTGGCACAGGTTAGTCACAGAATCACAGAATGCTTTGGGGTGGAAGGGACCTTAGATATAATCTCATTCCACAGCCCCTGCCATGGGCAGGGGCAATTTCCACTAGACTAGGTTGTCCAAAGTCCCATCCAGCCTGGCTTTGATCACTTCCAATTAGCAGAGAAGAAGACAATTTTTGTTCAAAGAAAAAACTGGACTTTTTTTTTTTTTTTTTTTTTACTGTTCTCTACAAATTTCACATTATTGTGGGTCTCTGCAACTTCACTTCCAGTCTTCTCACTGATGTGCTTTGAATGCCTTTTCCACTCTCTGTTCTTCATTCTATTTATGTGGTTCTCCACCTTCTGTCTGTGCTTTGAGGGTGTCATCTCCTCCAGAGGCTGCCTTGCCAGCTGACCATCCCCAGCCAGGACCAGAGCAGTGCTTGGGTCAAATGGAAATTTACCACTGCTGTGATACACTTACCAGTGCTGTGTAAATATTTACTATATTTACTAAAGCTGCTTTACTATTAGAAAAAAATCTGTGCAGGTGGTGTTCTGGAAATTAACTGACCTACAACACCTCCTCTTGCTTCCACCCTTCAGCTGTTGGCTAAGGATGGCAGCAACTCGCAGCTTTAAGGGAGATTTGTCCAGAGAGCTGAGTCACAGAGAATATATCCTTTCCTCTCTTGTGACATCTCAAGAGTTTTTTTCTCCTGAGATTTATTTTTAATATATTATTTATTATGTGTAAGAAATAATTAAAATGCTAACACTGCTCAGGTGCACTTCCTGTGTAAGGAAATGTAATCTTAAATATTTAATGTAGCTATTTAAAAAACAAATTCGTATTCACGTAGCGCCATCTGTCACCAAGTCTCTGCAACTGCACAGGACAAGGGCATTTTATTTTTATTGAATTAACGTAACTCTTGTCAGCATTTAAAAATAACTTCTTTAGGGGGAAAGAAAAAAAAGAAAAGAGAAAGGCTTCTTAGCTCTTATTTTACAGAGTGTTTTTTAATACTGCATCCAGCTGTGTGAAGAGTGAGTTTGGTGAAGCTAACTAGCTAATTTTATCTATTTAATTTATCTTATTGGTTTAGAAACCAATAGTAACCATGATTATCCCTGGTAGTTATAAGGTAGGCTTTACTTCTGCAGGCTCAATCTTTGCCTGTCCATCTGAATGAATGTCTTGGTTTAAAACAATTTAAAGGGGGCACTCTAAGATGAGTTACCTCTCCCTTTTTTAAGTTTTACCTCCCTTTCCACCAATAAGGATAAATGAATATGAGTAGATATAAGTGAAAAAAAACCCAGTTTATTAAAAAATGGAAATTTTTATATCTGAAGTTTAATAAAGGACAAGAGGAGACAAAGATAATAAAGCAAAGTTTAACAGCCAGGTGCTTGGCATTCAGCCAAGAGCACACCTGCCATTTCAGAGACACCCTTTATATTCCTTTCCTGTTGCATCACCCTATTGCATTTTCATAAACAATTACACATATTTAAACTTTTCCCAGACTAGTTTACATGTTCCAAGAACTGTTTAGCATGGCCCCTCCTCAGGACAGCCTTTTTAGAGCATGTGCATTTTTTGGCTGTGGTTTTAGCCCATTCTTATTTTCACCTCCAGTTTGGGTTTTGGTCCATACTTCCTTCAGATGGTGGGTGCTGAGAGTTGGCACATCAGGAGCAGGGGTCTTCATCATATTGGATGTTATCCCAACCAAGCAGGCAGTTCAATTACCACATGCATATCAGCTATTTCACTACTATGTCTAAGTTTAGTTAATAGCAGAAATAAAAACTATATAGCTACTTTAACATTATACATATAGCATTTAATATTTGCCAAATGCTAATATTATGTATTTATAACAACAGCTACAGACAGGTGCTGCAAAATTCAATCTGAAACAGTTTTTGACTGCAAAATGCAGCTTCTTGAGTTGCAACTCTTGTAAGTAGAGGCAAGAAAAAGCCAAGAGGCAGAGAATGACTGCCTGAGTGCCTCGACTTCTAAAGAGCCCAGGACACCTCAGCCCCTGTGCCTCCATTCTGTTTTCTGGCCTCAAAGTCTTAAACAGGCCATAATAAGTTTGAGCACAGGTACATAAGGAATACAATTAACATTTTGTGTTCCCTAGGACAATGCACCATTAAATACAATGAGGAATTTCTTAGCTTTGCTGCTGAGGGATAATCCTGAGGGGTGACTGGTGGCCCTTGCAGTGGTTTTGGTGCTCACTGTAGTCCCATCCTTCAGCAGAAGCTCACAGAATCTCCTCCCACAGCCTCACAACAGGCTGTGATTTTTCTTTTCCCTCTGGAAAAGGGCTTCTGAACATGTGTGCAGAGATTTATTATGCAGACATCCACAGAATAAGAATAAACTGAATCCCCACTTCACCAAACAATGTACTGTCTGGGGTTTAATGAAGATTTCTCCCTCCTTCATGCACCAAGTGGATGCTATATAGTTTAAATTATGTATTGGTCTATTACAGAATAATCAGTGCTAAATACATATGCATACACAGAGCACAATAAATTATGTATCCTGCCTTAATATTTCATGAAGAAGAGCCATGCCATATATTGTTTTCATTTAGAATTGAGTTCAAGAGAGCATTTAAACATATTTCTATTTTTAAATCCATGAATCATCGTAACAGGACTGTTCAGGTGCTTTCAGTTAGATGTGCACTTAACAACCATGCTGAATTTGAGCCATAATGATAATCAGATTAATATTTTGAACCAGTGCCCAAGGAAGCCAGTTGGAGCCATTTATTCAATTTTACTAAGCTCTTGCAATAAGATTAATTATATATATATAATGAAGGAAATAGAAGGTAGGCCTTTACTGAGAAATTGGAGTCTGTCTGAGCCTGGTCACCTTATATAGTCATGAATTTCTGTAGCAATCTGAGAAATCAAGGCAAAATATCTCAAAATGCCACTGGCAGCCACTCACTCATTCCTCCATTGCCCAGGACATGCCACACTGAAGGCTGAACACTCTCCTGCCCTATGAGTAAGCCAGCATCCTTTGGATAACAGGAATTCATTTTACCTAATAGAATTACTGGGATTCATTTTCTGTCCTGAAAGATATGGAGGGGGAAAAAAAAATGTTTTATGGACAAAATGTTCAAAAGCACTTCCATAGCACAAGAACTTAATCTCACTGGCAGACTTGGAGCTCTGACTGGACTGGGGGAGGGGAGTCTAGCCTGGACCACCTAGGGAGACAGGACTTCCAGCTGTTTTTCTGCACATAATGTCATGCTGCTGGTGAATTAGCTTGTTTTGAGCATATTTCTTATCCTGAATCTGCAGCTTTCAGCTACATGCTCAGTCTTCCCTAAGACAACTGTTGAGATGCATTGAGAGGTCTGAAAGGATCAATACATCTGATTAAGAAAACAATTGCATTAAATAGAACATTTAATTTGGTCCTGATGGGAACACTCAGGAAAGTGTACTTTCTGGAATGAATCTGCCATACAAGCATGTGTGCACATTATTTTCTTGTTTTTGTAGAAAAAATCAGGTCACAACACCTGTGACTCTGCTTTGAGCCTTGCACTTCTTCTCTTATCCAAAATTTCTCTTTGGAGAATGTGGCTACAAGTAATACCATCAAGATATTAAAGAAGTCTAAGTATAACCTAATAGCTTAGTGAACTAATTTCCATTGAATTACCTTTTCCTTTTTTTCCCTTTTCCCCTCTCTTTCTCCCTCCAGGACACAGGCAAAGCTGGTGGTTTAGTCTTTAATATTTGCAAACTACAAGGCAACTGAGCTTTTCTCTTCAGGTTTTCAGCAACAAATAGAAATAGTGGTTAATGTTTCCATACAAAGGCATCCTATGTGAGCTGGCTCTTATAAAAGTAAATTAAATAGCCAGTGTTTTATCACTTTATTGTTATTACCATTATTTATTAATAGCACAGCGTATTGTGCCTTTGTTTATTTTTAAAGCACAGTGTTTGTAGTCAAATCTGTATGTTGGCTCACACATTAATATTGATGCAAATATTGAACTATTCTGTGTAAAAAATATCACCTCTCATGGGTCTTTAATACTGCTGTGCTTTGCTTGTGCTGTGCTTGCTTCACTCCAAGGTATTCTTGCAGTGAACTGAGAAAATTGGTCTGGACCTTACTGATGGTACAAAATCTAGGAGTTGATTGTTTTTGCTGGCTGCTGTAAGAACCAAGTTATGTTTGTGTATTTTCTTGTGTGTTAAGAAAAGAGTAATTTTCAAATTGTGGCCATCAAATTCTGAACCTCTGATGGATTCCAAACATTTTGCCTCAAACTGCCCTCATATTGCTCAGCTATAACTTCTGAACCCAGGATCAAGCTACTGAAACCATACTAAATGCAGTGGTTTTTTTCAGGCCATATTAATGGGATTTAAATGATTATATAGCAATTTTAATCCATTTCCACTTCTGCAGTCTTTCTATTTCCTGAGAAAACTCATATAGTTTTATTTATTGTCTCATCTAAAAATGACAGAAAGCTTAAATGAATTATTTTTCACTTACCTGGAAGGTTTTAAAGTTTGTGGAGTTCACAGAGTAGCAAATGTTTAGTAGGTTCCCATGTCAAGATACAACTTTCTTCAGTTTGCTTCTGTAGATTAAAAGACTTTGGTTTAGATTTTAAGGATTTATTTCATATGTCAGTATCTGTTAAATATCCAGTGGAAGAAAATCTGAGAAGACATCCATTTGTAGATACAGTCTTTTTTATCTGTAGCAAAACACAAGGACCTGCAAGCAAGCCAATATTTAATTGCATTATCTAATGGCATCAAAATTTAGTTATGGCTCTCTTTAATAAAATAAATGTAGTGCCTTAGATGATAATTCTAAAATTAGGTCATGCCACACCTTATGGCTGTCAGTTCACTTTGTGAGATGAGCCAAAAGTCTTCCACACTCACTGCAAAAATGCCCTTTTTTTCTGCTCAGAGTCTCTGAGTTGAAAAGACTTTTGGAGAAATGGCTAAACTTGATGCATTGTTTAAATGACAATATTTTTTACAGTCTTCTTCCTAAGAAAAGAATTACTGTGGCTGTTTTAGAGCAGCAGAGGGATAATGCAGTGGAAAGCACTGGGTGCTTTGGGAAAGGGTATGAGAACAGAGAGAACTTAAGGAGCTCCTGCTCATGGTGCTCCAGGCTCAGAGATGCCAGGGAGTGAGTGGTCTGACCCTGTGCCTTCAGCAGGTGCCAGTGCCCATGAATTTGTCTCTGCCTTCTTTTAGTCCATGTAAGTTCTTCACCTTCACAGAGTCCTCTGCTAGTGAGTTCTGCAGATCAGCTGCATCTGTTCCAATAAAGGTGCCTCCTGCCAGGCATAAAATAGCCTAAGGCTAGTGTCACTGGTAGATCCTGTGTAAATCCTGACTGAAAGCAGGGAGAGCTGCCCGTCACTGACGATAACCCAGGTCCTAAAAGTGGGTTTGAAACTTGAGCTTTAGCTTTTCTCCTGCAATGGGAAGATGTTGAGATTTCCACAGCTAGAATTAACAATGAAATTAATGCCTGAGAAGGTGAAAGGAACAACAAGGAACTCTAGAAAGTGGTGAAATATGGATGGTCAGATCAAAATCCTCTCTGTTTCTGCATCTACCACCAAGTTTCTGTGCAACCCTGATGTGCTCATCTGAAAAGGAGACAGAAATATTATGATTATTATTGTTATATTGTCATTTTAAGAAATGACAGAGCTCCCAGGAGGTGGGCACAGGCTGCCTGACACACTTTTATGTCTTTGGCCTCACAGCAGCTTTGGAGGACAAGGTGGTGGCTCAGTGCCCCTTGCTTCCAGCCTGACATCTTGGTACTGAGCTGTTCTGCTTCTGCCTCTCCAGCCAGCCCTTTCCTAGGGCACCAGTGTGGCATTGATTCATAAATGTCTGAAAATGTTTTTTAAAAGCAGAGTGAAGATGCTTTAGAAGAGATGCATGCTTGCCTGTTGGGCAGCAGCAGCTTGAATACCTCAGTGCTGAAGTTATATTTGATGGTGCATGCACTTTGCTTCAGGAAAGCTGCCAAATGGCATTTTATCCCTACCTCAGAGCTCTATGCAATGAAAAAAAAGTGAATTTCCATGCTTTTTTTGGCCACAAAAGTGCCTGCAGGTCTTTAGACAGGTTTATCAGGCTGGGATCTGGCTCAGACCAGAAAGCGCCACTGGGCTGATGTTTGTGCTTAGAGTCAGGGCTTTATCAAGTGGCTCAGACTAGGATGAAGGTAGCCAATTTCCCCAGAACCAAATGACAGAATTACAGTTTGATCCTCAGCCCAGGATCCCTGGGAGGGGCAGCTTTCTCCTAAACATTAATGTTAATAGAGGGGTTTTATTAATTCTTTGTCATGATTCCTCTTTAGCCTCCAAGACAGGTGTGGTAGTCCTAGGACCAGCTCAAATGGAAGGCCATGAATTTCCTGCCATGCAGATAATTTTTTTAGTTTTGTTACTCAGTCACAATGAGTGTAGACCTGTTGTCCTAACCTCACTGGCAGATTTTGAGTTCTTTTGGCACTGATGCACTGAAGCACACTGAGGGCTGTAGAGGTTCTCCCAAACTTCAAAGTATTACTTTCCCTGTGAATTGCCACATTTCTGCAGGATAGCTTGCCCTTGCCACATCATTTGGACTGCCCATCTGTTGCTTAGTTACAAGACTAATAATAGGAGCCCAAATGATAGCAGAGTGGGCACCGAAGCATTTCAAATATGACAAGACCCAAAGGATGCTCATCAGTGTATGTGCAGGAATATTACACATCCTGAATTCTGAGGTTATAGTGACCATGACTGTTAGCTTTAACTTACACAGCTCTGTTTGCTAATGGCTTGGCTTTTGCTGGAGCTGGCTTGTTTGCAAGCTGCGGCCAGAGACACTGATTTTAAGGAAGGTGTGTGCTTGGGGCGAAATTGCTAAACAAAGGTCCTTAAAAAAGGGAAATAGGATAGGAGAGGAGCTCCTTGGGGGTTTTTCTAAGGGAAAACTGATTGTCAGTGTTAGGTCCTAATTGCTGGAGTCAGGTTATGCAATGCAGTATCAATGTGAACTGCAGAACTAGCCATAGCTGCTATATATTTTTACTGATCTCTATCCACAGCACCAATACCTTTCAGCTCTTCCCGGATGGTTTGTGTAAGGGAATTAATTTGTATCTTCACAAACTGGAATCGTGTTTTTGCAGCCTCATGAAAATGAGTGACACCAATTGCACAGGACACATCTTAGGTTTTCACAGCAGCTACATGAAAGACATTGTCCTTCCAGCAACATCAATTAATAGTCTGGAGGTGAGTGCTCAGCTCAACAGCTGAATTTAGTAACAGTTCATCTGCATGCAAGAGAAGGTTTCTCTGAACCTCCAGCAGCATCTAGTAGGACTCATACTTCAGCTTTGTGGTGACTGTGGCTGGGACTTGTATGGAGAGGTAGCCTGGGGATTGATTTTCTTGAGGTTCAGCTGCCTTCAGTGTGAGTCATCACCGGGAAACAGAGATAAGAGACATCAGCTGGACAGTGTCAGACCATCCCTGGAGCAAGGTCTCAAGGAGAGGCTGGAATGGCTTTGTGCTTAAGAGCTTCAACACAGTGATTGTGTTGGTCCATGGCACAAAAGCAACCAAGCTCCTGCCTGCACCTCGTTTGATGCCAGACCAAGGGAAGGGCAAGGATTGCAGTTTTGGTTTTCTTTTTATCTTGTCTCCAAAGATTGCTCTTGGTGCTTGCATTGCAGACGTTAGCTTGAGGAAACACCATAGCTGACCCGTGTTTTAAGACACAGGAATGACATGAATAAAACCTGATTAGTTAAGAGGAGAGGAGCTCACTATGAAATACTGTGTGATGGATTTCTGGTTCGTATATGCTGACATGGTGCTACTGAGAAAACATGCACTAAGGGTGACTTCACATTGTTATTTTTTCTTGTCAACAGCTTAAGCATTCTATGTCAGTAATGAGGAACAAACCTCTGCTGTGAAAGTGTTAGTGCTTTTTGACCCCTAAATTCAAAAGGAAGGAAAGCTCTTGGTGAAATACATGGCGATGTGATTCCTTTAGAAAAGCAGGGCAAAACCCCAAAACTTGTAATCAAGTGGGACAATGTTGTATTGTTGCCTAATGAGATACTGCATTAATGTATGGAAATTCAGCTCACAGGGACTTGTACCATGTATAGGTGCAGTTTATGGGGTTGTTCTAACACCAAGAAATGAGTCAAAGTTTGGAACACCACCCAGGATTTTTACTTGGTTTCCTGTGTATTTGCTTGCCTGTCACTCCTAAATTTGTTTTGCCTCTCACTTTGCAATGGAGTTGTCTCCAGATAAAGGCATTACTTGAACACCAGCTAAATGTCAGTTTAGTAATCCATACCCATTACTTGGTCCCAGGGTATCACTCAAAAAAAAATATTCTGCTGTGTTGCATTGTCTGTTGATCACTCCTTTTTGCCTTTTATCCTTGTTATTCTTCTCCCTCCTGTCTTGCAGAAAGCCAAGGTTCCAGACCATTAGGAAACTGAATTATTAAAACCTCATATTGATTTTTCTTGACCATATAGCTGACGTTATCATGCAAGGACCTTGCCTTGAGCTATGCAGAAGGGGTTTTGCTAAACACTTGACAGCTCTCCTCACTCCTTTTCTTCATTACCTTCCATTTCTTTCCTACCCCATCATTTCCAGGAGGAGGAGGTTCTGAAAACCATTATGCAGAGTCATTTCATTTCACTGTCAGGCCCCCTTTGCTAGCAGCCACACAAATGATGGGATTTTTTCTTTCTTTTCACTCTGGAGGTACACAAACAGATCAGTCCGTTTGCTAAAAGCCTCGGCACACCACGGTATCCATGGCAACACACCAGCCTGCGCAAGCATCTGCAGATGCTTCAAAAGCCAGAAATACCAAGCGATGACAAGTAGTTGCTTCATACAATGGATGTTTATAGGTGTCACAACCATCTGAAATACTTCCTTTTCCACCCATCAGCTCCTTAATTATAATGTGCTTTACATTTTTCTTGCAGCTTCTTTGTCAGAATCCAAGATTCAAGGCAGAAGTAATCCTTCTTTCAATGTTTATTTGCTTTGGGTTTAGATCACTGGCTGAGGTACCTCATGGGAATGAGCACCCCAAGCAACATTGCTAACTTTTCTCTTTGAACTGAGTTGGAGTGAAGGCTTTTCAAATTATAAAATCCACAGCTGTAATTGAAAAAGAAGTGGTCTATGTCAATCCAACAAATGTGGGTGCTAGGCTGATTGACCCATCATGTTGCATGAATTACTGGTTACCTGTAGTGATGACAGATCAAATAAGATCAATCAACCATTTTTTGGAAATATTTTTATTTAAGTTTATCCACCAGCTGGCATGGCAGAGACTATGGTAGTGTGTTTACAGGCACTGGTCTTCACCGAACCTGTGGTTTGTTCAGATCTGCTCTCAGGAGATAACATTCAGGTGCTCAGGCTGCGTTTGCAGCTGAGCTGGTTGCAGAACGTGTATCAGTTCACTAGACCAAACCTGCAAAAGCATCTGTAATTCAGAATGGGTAACTCATATGGGCACTGATAGACACTAAGATTCTCATGCTGGTGATGGCCCTGGCTAAGGTACATTTTTATAATACAGGACACCAACAGGCAGTTTTCAGGCATTCAGGACCCTCTTCTTCAACTCAGGGAAGTATTGCTGCCCCATTAAGATGTGGTGGGTATGCTTATCCATCAGGCTAGGGCCCTTCTCAAACCTAAACTGGACAACTGTGTTTGTTGCTCACACAAAGGCTGAGTACAAGCCTGAGTTTGAAGCTTGGTAATGAGAAAGAGCCCAACTACATACATGCTTAACCTCCAGCCACAGTTATGGGAAAATAGCCCCTCCTTCTGTCTGTAATGTTTTCTTTCTCTTAAGAAGTAACATCAGCATTTTATTCATGGAAAGGTGAAAAGAAATGCAAAGCCCAAACCCAAGATGAATTATGTTGCCCCATATAGTGGTGTTAACTTCATTGTTTTCAACTGATGATTTAAGCTTTAAACTTGGAAAATGCAGTAACATTTATCTGTTTGAATGTAACAAGAGGATCATATCAGAAAGCCTTGTCAAAATTCCACCTTAATAAAACACACTATTAGTGTATTGGAGCACTGATGAGCTTCCATGTGCAAGCATCTCACAGATTTTTTTCTCAGGTCTTTAATCCTCAGTAGCTACTGTTGGAACAATTCAGACTGTTCCCTAGAACAGGAAATTAAATCTCAAAAATGGTATATTCTTGTATATACAAGCAATACATAATTTTTAACCAGTTTGACTATTCTGTAAGTTACACATCATATTTATTTTGAAAAACAAATTTTTCATGTATTTTTGCTGGAGATTCAATGTGCAAAGAGATTTCACTACATAAAACTTACTGTGTGCTCTGTTCATCTTCTGTTTGGTCCTGTAAGTAGGCAGTGGGTGTTTCATTTTTTTCATTCGAAGACCTGGTAGGGTTGAATGGTGCATTAGTTTTATTCCCCCAATTCTCAAGATAGATAAAGAAGACAACACTTTTATTACTGAGAAGCTAGAGATGGCAAAAAAAGTAACTTGGCCTGAAACTTCCTCACAATCATCGTTCTTTAACTAAAAAATATCAAGAGTAATAAGACTTGTTTTCCTAGAGACTTTGGGTTTTTTTCTTATTTATCAGATGGAAATTTAATAGATGAACTATTGTTCTGTGCCCCAGAAAATGGGTTAAAGCAGTGAAAGTTGGTTTAGGTTAAGAACTTTCTGCAGCTGAATTGTGTAAGGATCAGTATTCCCCTCAATCCATTTTGAATACATTTAAAAAATGGTCTGTGAGGTGTCACAGTAAGTTTGACACCCAGCTTTCTTCTTTTCAGCAGAGGAATCATATCCATAACTAAAATTTCACAAAGTTTCAAGAATTAAGAGGAAAAAGTAGCTGGATTAGTTAAATGACAGGGGAGGAAGCTCTGCACACAACCATGAACCTTGTAATGGACTACTGTCCATTTTTCACACTGGTTCACTGGAGACTCTTTCCTTTCAATCCCAGCGGTGAGAAATGAAGATGTTCTGCTGTAATGCATTCTCTCTGCAATTCTTATCTCCTTGCAGCCCCAAGATCTGGTGGCCCAAGTGTTTTGTACCCTCTCTCTGCTTTCAAATTATTCTACTTCTAATGCAGAGACTGGCTTTTGACATCAAAAGCATTTAGCAAATTAGAGTGTAGCTCCCTGAAGCTAATTCTTGCATCATAATTCACATGGGAACTTAGAGTCCCTTGGATATAAAAACCAAAGATAACAAAGTACAAAAGCAGCATTGCTCTTGTACAATTCCTTCCACTGAGCCAGATCTCACCTTTGCTTAAAGCTTTCCTGTAGCAACCTGAGACATTTACAAACAGGTAGTATCTCCAAATAATCTTTGAATGGTAAATGTAATCAAAAGGGAGACAGGCAGAAAAGGGAAGGCTTTTACATGGAAATGTTACTGTGAGCTGATGAGATACAGTTGAGCAAAAAAAATGAACATAGTTTGTGATGCAAAGCCAGGGATAAGTCCAATCTATTTTCAGCGGAAGATTTTATTTTGCTTAGTCGTTGATAAGGATTTGAAGGAGCTCTTCAGCTCGCTTTTCCCCCTTTGCCTCTGTCGGACACTAGAGGGACCCCAGAGTTTTCCAGCCCATGAAAACATCCCATCAATGCCGAGGTCGGAGCCCTGTCTTTCCTTAGCTTAGGTCACCTTAACCTAGGTGTTTCCAGAGAGAAAGGTGGGGAAAAAACTGCTCAACATGCCCACAGACTGCAAATATACCACTGAGAGTAATATGCAAGGGGGCCGTAGCCATACTTCTTTGTTTCATTAACCTCACTGGTGCTCGCAGCTCTTCCCATCATCAATAAATAAGAGCTGACTTTGTCTTGACTGCTCTGATTGCTCAGCTAATGTTGTGACATTGGTGCCAAGGCTTGAGTCACCGTGGTTTTGAGAAATTAAATGTTTCCTTACCCAGTGTGAAGCTTTGCCAAATACCTAAGTTGCCACTACTGCATCCCAATAAAATCTCCGGGGAGCAGTGGGGAATTGTTGCTTAACTATATTGTAAGAGACAAAGTATTGACACAAATTCCTTTTAAAACAGCATTTCCCAGACACAGTTTCAAATTAATCTGTTCTAAAGACAGCTACAGGCAATGTCATTCCTTTTTCTTTTAGTAGGTAGGTAAAAAATCCTCTGTATTTGACTTACTAGACTTCCATACAGAGATCCATAATTCAGTAGCTCAAAGCTTTACTATAAAGCTCATGGTTTATGAGGTGATATAAAATTTTTTTCCTTTATACAAAAAATCTTTCCCCACTATCACTTAGTGGAATGATGCTTTCTGATCTCTGCATTAATATTTCTAATAAAAATATGTGCATACATTTTAATACCTCTAATGTGAATTAAAATATTTTTTTCTGTCTTAAAACATCTAGTGTCAACACTGCTGCTGGATATTTCACATGAAATATAAAGTAATCTGACTAGATAATTATCTCAGGGAAAATGGTGACTGCCATTTTTTCTGTGCTTATTTTTCATCATCTTTGATGTTTGTTTAAAGGAGAGATACAAGTGAATGACTAACTTCCAAGACTCACCTTTTCTCTTTCTCTCTCTCTCTCTCTCTCTCTCTCTGCAGGCTGCTGCTGAAAAGAGACAGGCTGCTTCTGTACTGCATTTGAGCTAGAGGCATTGATTCTCTGTCACCCATGGAATATTCTGAGCATGTCTCTGGTTAGTTACACCACCCCTCTGATCTCTAGGAATGTTTATGGACAGTGCACAGTGTATTGTACGTGTGTCTTTCCATGAAGACATCTTTTCATCTTTTCAGTGACACCCACTGCAGTATTTATTTCCAATGAAAGTATAGGCTGTCCTTTCTCCTCCCCTCCACCTTCTTATTTTTTTTTTTAAAAAAATAAATTAAATTTTAAGCTTTAAATTAATCTAATTTCCATTTGGATGAAGTTTAACTTTTTCTTCTTGATCAAGTCAACTGCTCATTCCCTCTCAGGGCTGCTTCTGATTAGACTTTATGTTAAGCCTGAATGTGCATTATCAAGGTGATGAGAGGAAGGGCAAAAGTTCCTGTGCTTGTGGGGAGAACTCCATCAAGGTCTTAGCATGGATGCCAAAGCCTCTGAGGAGAGGCACTGTAAAACACCAGCAGGACAAAGACACTGCTGTCTTCAGGGTACTGCAGACACTGGTGCACATTCCTTATGCCCTGAACCAGTGTCTTTCCTCCTAGCAGCCTGGGAGAAAGCCTGACTGCAGAAAATCCATTTCTTCTGAAAGCATCTCCTCTGGAAGGATGTACATGACTGATGGTGAGTAATGAGCAGGGAACATGATGACTTTGTCACTTTGGCAAAATCCTGCTCCCTTTGCATGGCACTGATTTACAGATGAAATGTGAGAAAAAAGCAGTGGTGGGAAGTTCTCTCAAACAGCTTGAGGAGGGCTCAGGAAAAGTACCGGAAGAAATATTTGTAGTCTTCACTCTTTTTAAATTAAAATTTCCTCATTTACAAAATTTCATTCATTAACACTGACATAACCTTAACATAGACTACATGTAGTAGTTGCTGAGGGATGGACATTTCTTTATGAAGAAACAGAAGCAAGGGTTGGGACCTAGGCTTTCCTAACTGCATTTTTTCCTGAATTGCGTTTTAACCACTCAGTCTAAGACACATGTGGCCCAAATTACAGACATGAAATCTTCTAGATAACCTGCCCATAAAGAAAACAAGCGTTCAGTACTCCTGAAACTCATGTTTGAAATCAAACTGGTTACCTAAAATTAAAGATATTTTGGAAAAAAATGTAGAGAATTTGCTCACAGTGATGCAGCAAAATGGAACCAAACTGAAATTAATGTTCAAAGTTTTTCCACTGCAGTATTGGTAATAGTGTGAAATCTAGGTCCCCAAGTATAAAGAAAAAGATATATTTTTGATTCACCGAATCAAAATATAGTACCTTCAAAACATTATTAGAAGGCAATATATACATGACATACTCAGAATTTTTGGTTAAGATTCTGACAGACTGACTTTTGCAGTCATGAATTTTTAACAAACTAAAATTTGCTTAGGAACTAGAAGAGGTAAGAAGGCATCATTTTACTCTTTCGTCTCCAGCACAGGTTGGTTGAAATGCCATGATTCTGGCTGTAACAGGTGAGATGAGCTCATCCTGTTGCCCTACCGCACCAGCGGTACTGTGGGAGGAATGACTTTGGAATATAGCGGCTGTAATGGACATCCTGAGCGGGAGAGTTCAGTTCGAGAGCGTGGTGACAAAGTAATAGGATATCTTCTATTGCCAGAGTCCAGGAAATGGCTGGAAAGCCCGGCCCTACGAAAGCAGTGTGGAATCGAGCAGCAGTGCGGTGTCTGAGGGTCTTGTAAACGCGTTTTTTCACCGATCTCACTGTTATTGCTCTCTTTCTCCAGAGGAAAAAGAGGAATTAGACTGAGCCGGGCTTGCAGCGCTGGGAATGAAATCAGGTGAGGGGCTTTCGGGAAGGTGCTCTCGCAGGAGCAGGGCAGGGCAGGGCAGAACACG